AAATGCTTCAGTCTTTCTTTGGAATGATTGATTGCAGCCCTTTTCTTGGTTTTAACTGTGGTTGCACTTTCATTAAAGCTCATACACGACCTAAACACTTGTTTTACCACAGAACTGCAAAGATCCAGTAAATAAAAAAGTCTTACCAAAGTTTACCAAGTACATCGACGCCATCTTTAGTGAACCTGTGGTAGTGAAATTCCGACATTGTTAATTCCTTCATGTATTAACTCCCTAGGTCACTGTATCTGTACTTCTGTTAGCTGGTTATCATCAGGCTAACTGTTGTTAAGCTAACTGTTGTTAGCCGCAGCTAGCTGCAGCCGGACACGGGGAGAACAAACTCACCTTGTTGTTGTGGCCTCGTTGTTTGTTTTCAGTGAAGCAGAACTTCACTTTCACTCTGAGTCACATTTACATCAATACAGGTTGAAAACCAACCACTGAGTCTGTGCCTTGCTTTCTGCAACATGAACCCACAGACCACAGACCACAGGTGGAAACACCAACCACACCAGGTCCTGTTTGTTTCAATAGAAACTACATAGAACTATGTTTTAAATAGATTTAGATGTTGTAAGAAAAAATATTGCGATTTGAACAAATTTATATACAAGAAAACCATCATAAAGTAAATGTTGCCTAAAATAGGTTTATTAATTAAAATAATTGAATGTTTTTCAATGATGAATAAATAATTACTAAGCTAGATTTCATTTCAAAAAGACTTTATCCCAAAAAATATTTTCTCGGATGTCAAGTCATAAAACTGAACTTATCTGTGGTTATGGTGACAGAAAGAATTTGTGACAGTGGTATTTCAATCAGCTATGTGAACATTTTCTTCACATAAAAAAAAACAAAACAGCAAATTCAAAACAAAAATTGAAATAAATAAACCTTGAAAAGACCTGAGAAGTCTTGAGTATAAGCTTTTAAAAACATCAACCTTCTCTGCTGCCATCTAGTCTTCATGCAGGTTGGTCGAATTTGTGACTTCCAAAAAACAGTTTGACGAAAGTATCCTTTTCAGTGCGGCGGCATAAACTTGGCATACAGCCCCTCTTTGTTTTACTGTACACTACACTACTTCTACTGTAGTTTATTGACTCCAACCAACTATGCTCCACCTACAGATGCCATGACCATGAGTTGGGTTCAGATGTTTTTCAGTGTGCCTTCCTCCATCTGATCAGTGTTTCCTGCTAAAGTCAGCTTCTCTTAACCACAATTCATCTGAAGGTTTGTCAGAACCTCAGTGCGTTTGGCTTCACAACCACACTCACCTGTGAGATTGATGCTTTGGATTTCATGTCCCCAACTTCCCCTGGAATGGACAAAACATTTGTCCAGAGTTGGAGTTTGAAGACTATACAGGTTGGGGTCTCAACAAGATATTCCCACTCCAGCTTAACCATGGCACTCTAGGTCTTCCAGGTCTGTCCATTGGCCTCCTCCACCCCTAACTCTAACACATAACCCCTTAGCAACGGACAGTCCATCAGGAGGACCGGGACATTTCCCTGAGGGTTGATGTGGCTCACCAGGAACAGTCCGCTTGATCATTGATGATATAACAGGCAGGTACGAGTTGATGCACATCTTGGATTGGACATGAAGGCTAGCTTTCCAAACTGCTGAGGTTCTATGAATGGCAGCTTTGCCCTTCTACATTGAGCTAACCTTGGATAATGGCCAGCAATAAATATAATCATCCATCATTGAGGAGAGGTTGTAAAAATAACCTTTTTTTATTTTACTTTGCTTCGGCTAAGCGACAAATTTGAAAGGTAGCACAATGTTACACTGGTGTCTTCTTGTGGGCTGTCTGGAATGACTTGAAGATGAGAACTTAAAATAATGTCATTACTGGTGTTGGTATCACTGGCTGCCAGATTTATAGAGTAGCTGATGTTTCTGAGGAAATCAAAGTTTTGGCAGATCAGTCAAATTAACTGGATCATCATGGTTGTGTGCTTAAAGTACTGTACATCAATTTAAACTGGTAAAACATGGAATTTTGTCACAGACTTAACAAATTTCAAAAGCCTCTTCGGACACCAAAAAACAGCTGATAAAAAGAGCCAAGGCTTTAATAAAACCTTTTATTGTGTTTGTCAAAGTCTGGTTGCCAGACAAAATTTACAAAAGTTATCATTCAGTTTCTACCACACATTTATACATTTCTGTGCAATTCTTGAGTATACACGAATAATCCAGTCGTTTCTTCTCAAGTAAAGCAAAAAAACATCCAAGGCAGAGTAACAGGAGTCAACATAAATATCTGACTTGGGAGCGAGGCAGAGAAATTCAATCATATACAACAGTCACAAAAATTACAATACATACATTAACCAGAAAAAACCAACCGATTGCTGCTTCAGTTTTCCAAGTCAGTCACAAGTCTAGCTGTTAATGTAAAGATATTTACAGATACTGTTTGTGTTCAACGTACAATAAAGAAGTAAAGGAACTCACAAACTTTCAAATGCAAAACTGTGTTTCCATTCCTTAACTGCTCAACTTGAGCTGGAGCTGATGACGTTTGTGCACTGAGGTTCACAGAAAGAACCAAAGCGCCCGTAGATGTCTTTGGCTCTAACAGCAAAATGATAAGTGGAGCCAGACTGGAACTGTGTCAGCGTACAAGCCATAGGCAGAGGAAGGGCCTTCACCTCCCCAATCTTCTTCCAGTTCTGCTGTGCCACATTGCTGCTGGAGTTATCTTGGTGGAAGGCATAGAGGTGATAGCTGTCTACAGCTGCACAGGTCCGGTCAGTTTCTGACACACACCAGGACAGGACTATACCAGTCTGACTTGGCACCAGCTTCAGCTGGGGTTGCTGAGGAAGTGAGGTCCGCTCAGCCTCTGGGGGTAAACGTAATGGTACGGGTGCCACAGGGAGAGGGGGCAGCACCGAGCCTGTGACCCGGGACGGCGTAGTAGTGGTTACAGTGCGGGATTTTATTGGCGAGTCCTATGAAAGAGAAAACTGTTGTCATATGTTGGTCCATTGGCAAAATGGGCTGAATATGATCAGGACATCACAATTTCTTGAATGATTTAATTAATCATTCATAGAGAGAGTGTGGAAAGTGTGTTAAGGCTATTGAAAAGTTTTTTAAGAAACCAAGAAAAATTAACTTCCTGCAAAAAATTACAAATGTATTTCTAAATCCTCACCAGTGGGGGGCGGTGGTGAACAGTCAACTGAGGATTGTTTTGTGGCGACATTCTTGCTCCTGTACCTGAGGACAGAACAGACATGAAAATTAAAAAAATAAAATTAGCAGTTTATTTTTAAAACACTGGTTTATGTGTTTGTCATATGTTATTTGGCTCAAAATCATCCTTTCATGCTCTGAATAGGAAGAGGTGGTCTTACTGTTGTGAATGTTGATGTTTGGAAGCTGACGCTGGGTCGGTGAGGGAGCGGCAACCGTGGCATTTTTCACTCCTGTCACTGGAGAGCGTAGAGTGCAATACAATTAGACTCACAACTGCTTTTCAATACAGAATATGTAAGCATTTAGAGAACAATTCAATGAGTTGAAAATGTATTTTATTCTACCGAAAAGCCATGTATGCTTCAGCCTTACCTTGCACATCATCATCATCCTCTGTGAGATCTATGACGGAGCCTTTGGGTCGTGCCGCGGCTGCTTTGGATGGAGTTGCTCCGGTAGCTTGGTTGTCTGGAAAAGGGGGAGGGTAAAAGTTGAGATATTTAGCAAAAGAAGAAGGCAGCAACGAAACAACAAAATCAGCAAATGTTAAAGAAAGCCTGCTGCTGTTTAAACAATGATAATGCACATCATAAGTGAAAGCCTAATGTTGCCTGGTTGTTTTTATCACCTACTGACATTTTTGAGACAGATCAAATGACTCACAGCAGAAATGCCTTGATACCTTTAACCACACCATAGTTATAATAAATACAGCAACCCCCACCTGTCTTTGACGTCAGAGATGTCCCCTGTGGAGGTCCCGGAGCAGTGGAACCTGTAGCTGCTGGCCCAGAGGTTGCAGGAGAGGAGGCTGACGACATCGCTCCAGCTACAGAAACAGACTGAGCTGGCGTCCTGGCCGTGGTTACGGACACCCCAGCATTGGGCGTCGTTATTCCCCCAGCACCCCCCTGATACACGGCTCGGGCAAGAGAGATCTGGGTAGAGGACAACTGGCCGGTGGAGGCCTGGAGCGCTGAGACAGTAGCAGCAGCTGGGGCAGAAGCTGATGTCGTCGTAATGATGGGAGCGGGCTTGAGTATAAACGTGGTGGTAGAAGCAGTGGTTTTGGCCTTGTTGAGTGAACTGGCTGCAGACAAGGAGGAGACAGGGAAGTTGACTAGTGTTCCTGCCTGACCATTAGCCACTGATAAAGGCAGCTGGATGAGGAGTGGCTGGCCCGAAGCCATCATGCTGTTCCCAGGGCCCGTCTTCAGCAGCAGGGTGCCTGTGGGACTCTGAGTGGTGATGCCAGTAGCCAAGGTGGATGCAGCATTAGCAGTGGAGGTGATCAGCTGGAGGATGGGTGCCTGCTGAACCATAGTTGTGGAGGTGGATGTTGGGGCTGAAGCTGGGACAGGGCCTGACAGAGCTGTCTGAGCTGGATTCACTGAGGAAAATAGGAAAGATGACATGTTTCAGAAGGCGGCAGGAAGTATCACTGATATCTTTTTTTTTTTACTCATATTTCTGACAGACAACTAAAGGGCGTAAAACCTGAAGCAGCTTATTTGTCAATAGGCAGCGCCCATTCTAAACCTGCTATTTTGGAATGGGCTGTTTTCTTGGCTTGTGTTAATGGTCTGGAGCTACTTCAGAATTATTCCTTTCATTAGTGAGTCCTCAGACCTTTCTTATTGTTTGTGTGCAGAGCTTTTTATAAACAGTCTACAGTGCAGAGTGAAGTTAGAAAACTTTGTGTTCAGCCTACCTGGTTTATCAGATGATTTTATTGTCAATATTTTTCAAAATGATCAGTTTGACCGTGTTGCAGACTGCTGCTATAGTTTATCAGATGACATAGAATAAGACATTCAATTCTGTCCACAGACAGCAACACTGACTGCAACAGAGGACTGGTCGACACTTTATACTATTTTCACTAATATTAAGCTTGTGGCATGTCCAAACACAAAAAGCAGTACTGCACTTTTTCAGAGAATTTACAATACAAATCCTGAGTGTGAAGTCGAAAAGGTGAACGATTCGCAAGATATGGGTTCCAAATACAGACAGACACATGTTTGTGGAATAAGTAGGTGGATGTCATGTTTATTTTTAGGAAGGATCGCGAAAGTTAAAACCTATCCTAGCAAACACCCATTGCAGTACAAATTCAATAAAACAATTATGGCAATATTTTTTATTTTTAATTTGTTGATTTGTTTCTACAAAAACACAATTTTTACAAAATGTCTCAGTTGTGTACTTTTACATAAAAAAACAACAAATTGTGGATCAACAATATCATGGTTGATTTTGTTCTTAAAAAATATGTGCTGCA